ATATTCATCCATGTTGCTTCAAGAAGTCGCTCCTTTACAGGCCAGGTAGTACTCCATTCTAGGTATGAACTACAGTTTTAGGCAATCATCTATTGATGGGCAATACTAGACTTCTAAAATATAATTGATTCCGTGTATGTATAAATAACTAAAAAATTATCAAGATATACATCAAACTGTTAAGCAAAGTCTGACTCAAATTCCTAACTCACATTAAGAGGCAAGACACAGAGGGACAAATATTGGTATCCCCTAACTTTATATAGAGATGACAGGCAAATGTATAGAAGCATAGCTTATTCATGGTTCTCTGCTTACAGGAAAGAGCACACTCATCTTAGAAATCAAATGCCAACCTCACTCCTGGAATCGATTCTGACTCAATGTGTCAGAGTAGAACTGCCCCTGTGGGTTTCCAAGGTTGTAAATACTTTACAGGAGCAGAAAACCTCATCTTTCTCCATTGAAGCAGCTGGTGGTTTCAAACTGCTGACCTTGTGGTCATGAACCAAAATCAAACACACGAAGACACCAGGAACCCTTCTCACAGATTAGAATTGGGAATTCTTTATTCCTCTCCTTGAAGAATTTTTTTTTAAGTGTCTGGAAATTTAAGAGTTAAAAAATGTTACTCTATCACTTCTTTCTATTGATGATAAAATTCCTATACATCTTCAAGCTCTAAGGAAAGTAATGCCACATATTTAAAAAATGTGCATTAAACTCTGACCATTTCTGAAACGATTTAGAAGTTACAAATGGTAAGCTACAGAAAGCCTTGCCTTTGACTACATAATCCAATTCTGCCCTCTAGCAGCCTACGATTGAAATAGCACCTACAAGCCAACCAATTTCTGCATTAATAATCTATCTCTTATGGAAAAAGCTACTAAAAGTGGAGAGGGGGTATGAACAATTATACAGCAATAGCCTATGAATAGAAAGTTCCCTTAGAAAGACATGCCAGCGGTTCTCAACCTGTGGGTCGCAACCACATTATTTCCAATGGTCTTAGGAACCAAAACACCACTCCTGTATCCATCTGGAGGCGGGTCCGCCCACATGCAGATACGCACACCTCCGCATACCCAGCGTGAAAACTGTTAACCCATGCTACACCATGCTTCAAGACAAAATTTCATTGATTTATTAGAAATAAATATTTCATAATATATAATTACAGTGTTTGTGATCACTATGCTTTAGGTTTAATTTGTAACAATGAAAATACATCCTGCATATCAGATATTTACACTACAATTCCTAACAGTAGCAAAATTACAGATATGAAGTAGCAACGAAAATAATGTTATGGTTGGGGGGTCATCACCACATGAACTGTACGAAAGGGTCGTGGCATTGGGAAGGTTGAGAACTCCTGCTCTGTATCTAAGGGACCCTTCTAGGTCTTCTCTACCAGACCTAGAAGGCATGGAAGGCACTATGGAAAGCCTCCCTACATATCTGCCGCCTGCTGTGGTTTTAAACACAGGGGCTCTTCTCTGGGCAAAGCCATTTTTGTCACTGGACAAACTCGTTCCTCTTCTTTTTGCTCCATGGTAGCAGGGAGGTGAGGTGAAAGCTAGTAGACTTGATAGTTCTATAACCCACCCTTTGAATACATACATGCACACACATTTGAATAATTCTAAACACGATACAGTATGAAGCTTTTCCTAAAACATATAGGGTCCGATCTAAAGCAAGACTAGCCTATGATTAAATAATTATGGTACCACTTGTCAACCCTGGAAACAAAATTAAATATTTAAGCTAGTGTATACAATAAACATGATCAAGAATGACTATTACCGTGCTTCCAACCCTCAAGTAACACTGACAAGCATCTGAGTACAAGTCCATAATTGCTCTCCTACCAAGCAACCGATTCCTATAGCTCACCAAGCCTGTGTTTAGCCGGTACCTTGGAACATGGAGACGGATGCTGGTAAAGATGATAATGTTAATCAGGATTAACCTTGAAATATATTATCTGCCAGTACTTTTGGCTGTACACTGGTGTTTCCAATCATATTTAGTCTTAAATTGAATGAATTCAAGTGTGCGCACACGCGTGTAAAAATCACATACAGATTTTCAAATAGGTATGTCATGTGTTTATTAAGAATTTTCTGTTAACATAAATGAGCAAAGCTGGCAAAATACATCACTATAAATTATCACAGATACAGAACAAATTCTCAAGATGTCTCAGGATGGGCTTCTCTCATGGTTCAAATGGATCTAGGGAAAGAACAGAAGAAATAATATACCAGCTACCAGTCATCAACAAATACCACACACTGCCAATGTAATTTTGGCAGGTGGGCTAGCTGAACTGCTGTCTGGCTAAAGCTTTGTTCAAAATTCCTCTATAAAAAATCCTTTCCCTATGTAACCCTACCTTCTTCTGTACTCTGAAAGTCTCTCTTCAGTATTCATGAATCTCAAGGAAGATAAACAAGCCAATATCAAAGCTCAACTTCAGAATGTCCTGTAGCCAGGCAACATCTACCTGTGTAACTTAGGGCACCAAAACACCAGCACCATCAATTGGACTAATACATATAAATGTGTGTGTATGTGTGTGTGTATGCCCTCCGCCCTAAGAGAAAGGCTATATATGTATCTTCCAGGGTAGATAGTGCATTTAAACTGCCAGCCTTGCAGTGAGCAGCCCAAGACCTAGCCCTCAGTACCATCAGGGCTGTTCGTGATTCAAGGAAGCCACGTGTAAAACTCCAGGAAACATACAAAATAGAGCTGGTGTGAGAGTGGGGGGGCCCAAAACAGTTCAACCTAGTGTTGCCACATGATCCAGCAATTCCACTTCGTAAGCACACAGGGCAAGCCAAAAAGTATTGCTACGAAGACTGCAGTTTATACACACACCAGAGTTTATTCCAAACAAAACATATTTAAACATGTCTCTAATGGTGGACAGGTATGAAGAAGTTCTCTTAGTAATGTGCACAAGTCTCATTAGGGTGCCTTAAAAATATGAATCAAATAAATCAAAATAAGTGGCTTCTGAGAGTTAAATTGGGTAATATTTCACTATTTTATTAGAGATTCTAAAAGCATAATTTGCTAAGATATATATTTTAAAATCATTTATTGGGGGGCTCATACAACTCTTTGGTTTTACTTTTTTAAAATAATTTTATTGGGGGGCTCATACAACTCTTTTCACAATCCATCTATCCACCCATCATGTCAAGCACATTTGTAGCCATCACCATTCTAAAAACAAATTTTTCTACTTGAGCCCTTGGCATGAGCTCATTTTCCCCCCTCCCTCCCCCATGTGAACCCTTAATAATTTTAAATTATTAACTTGTCATGTCTTACACTGTCTGATGTCTTCCTTCACCCACTTTTCTGTTCTTAAGGACACAGATAATCACAGGGGGTTTCTTAAAACTTAAGTTTTAAGAAAATTGAAAACTGCCCTGTTGGGCTCCACACTTTCTTAGCCTATATATATATAAGCTAAGAAAGTTGGGCCCAGAGGTTGTTTTTCATCACAATACCTGCTTATTCTGCAGGAGCAGCAAGGGTTGTGCTATAAACATCTCATTAGGAAACATTACTCCATTCTACCCATCAGCCCTCATCTTGCCTCTTCAGTTTTTTGCTCCCAAAACTAAAAAAATAACACCAACAAAAAAAAAAAAAAAAACACACAAAAACCAGTTTAGATGTTCCAAGATGTCAAAACTGTCATTTTGACATGGGGTAAATCGGAGAGAATTCTTCTGGGAATGGTTAGAGATGGAAACATCACTTTCAGGTGTGCGTAGCTATAGGAGAATAGGCTAAGAAATAGTAGCTTCAGATTTTGACATTTTTGTTTTTAATAAAAGGTTCTACGATTTCTGAAAAATGTGGTCTCAGGGTTGGAGGAAGGCTTATTAACAACCTGTGATATGCAGAAGACATAACCCTGCTTGCTGAAAGTAAGGACTTAAACTTGCTGATGAAGACCAAGGACTGCAGCAGCCTTCAGTAGAGATCACAGTTCAATGTAAGCCCAACAGGTGACATCATGGGAACGGAGAGAACACTGAAGTTACTGAGGCTCGCTCGGACCCAGGCAGTGCTCCTGGCAGCAGCTGTCAAGAGTCATCAGTGCACTGTGTTGGGACATCTGCTGCACAAGACTTCTTTAATGTGTTGAAAAGTAGAGGTTACTTTGAGGACTAAAGTGCATCTGACCCAAACCAGGGTATTTTCAATGGCTTCATAGGCATGTGAAGGTTGGACAATGAATACGCAAGACCAAAAATAATCGATGCTTTTGAATTGTGGTGCAGGAGAAGAATATTCAAAGTACAATGGAATTCCAGAATAAACAAATGTGTCTTAGAAGTAGTACAGCTACAGCCAGAATGCTCCTTAGAGGCAAGGATCCCGAGACTTCATGTCACATACTTTGTGGACATGCTGTCGGGGGACCAGTCCTGGATAAGGACATCATGCTCAGTACGGTAGTGGGGCAAACCCTCAGCAAGAAATTGACACAGCAGTACCAACAATGGATACATATAAAAACAATTGTGAGGAGGGCACAGGACCAGGTAGTGTTTCACTCTGTAGTACACAGGGCTGCTATGAGTCAGAACCAACTTGATGGCACCTAACAACCTGGTTTCCATAGCAATACTTTTTGACTTACCCACGTATTCACAAAAGACTTGAAGACAATGACGTAAACAGTTACATGTGTACTAGTGTTCATCGCAGTATAATAAAAAAATTTTAAACAACCAATATGTCCCTCAACAGATGGATAAACAAAATGTTATATATACAAATTCATGATTAAAAAAATAGAATTAATAGAGAGCAGAGTATTACTCGGGATATCCTAATATGAAGTGAGTCACAAAAGGACATATTGTATGGTCTCACTTCTATGAAATACTTAATATGGGCAAATGTACAGAGACCAAAGTGTAACAGTGGTTACCAATTCAGCACTGGATACTTGTGAAGTTTGTGCAACAAAATTACTATAGGTAGCATCACTGAATTATACACATGAAACATTCTATTTGGCAAATGCTATCTTTTTCTACAATTAAAAACTGCACAGAAAAAAAAGTACATATTTAAAGAAAGATTTGCGCTTCGACAAGATACATTTCTATCTGAAGACAGCTATCTGGTAAACCTATTCTCTCCTGTAGATTGAACATTTAGTAATTACAATTTTGATACCCATTATTGAGCATTAAACTAAACATATAGCCTTTAAAAAGCAGAGCTAGACTCTTGTGATTTGGGACAAGAAACTCCCAAGGAATCCTCAAGTCTATCTAGATTTTTCCTAGCCTCCTTCCACCCCACTCCCTGGGACACAGAAACCAGTGAACCACTGTGGCCTTCTCCCCACTGACAGCAATAGGTATGATTTTATAACCTGTATGATTCATTAGAATGTTATCTTCTTACTTGAAATAATCTCTTCAGAAGTCTGAGTAATGGTGCAACCTGAAAAAATAAAGATAAGTCATCTAAAAAACTTTGTAATTACCCACAGTATTGTTAATCAGATTGATGAATGGCGGCACTTGAGAGGATTTAATTATTTTTTTCACAGCAGCGTTTTATGCAAAAACAGCCATGTTGTCGCAATCCTTCTCCACAGGCACCTAGGTTCAGACTCTGGAATCTGACAGATCCTTGCATCTGATTTTAGATAAAAGCAGTAAACTTGCTATAAAATACTCTATCAGCCACATCCAAGAGAACCACTGTGTCAATCCACGCCCTTGCAAGACAGCTCGAAGCAGTCACACCCTAAAGAACCAGGCTCTGGAGAAGAGGAAAATTCAATTGCTTTACGAACTAAAATTTTGGAAGAGAATTTAAGTGCAGTAGGAATCTGCATCCTTTTATAAAACCGTGAGAGAATCGCTCAAAAGGTGACTGAAGTGAGACTGGTGGAATTCTCAATTTTCCTGCTATAACCTACTTTCCTTTCAGAGTAAATAGAACCTTAAATCACATTACTGTTTGCTATAATCTCTTTTCACAAGCATCTACTTCAAACCAATTTAAATTCCTCCTTTTCTTCAGCCCAGATTCCATTTTGAGAGCGGGCCTTCCCTACAACACTTAAATGCAGGACTCTGAGTGGCACTCGGCGCCTGTACACAGAGCCAGGGAGGAGCTGGGATTGCCTGCTCAGGTTTCCCGTGGCAAGCTCTCTACTTCTCCCCAACAATACACCTAGGTCTTCCGGCATGGATGCAGTTAGATGCTGCTTGCTCCTGCTGTACAGCTAAAGATATCTGGTAAGGAAAGAAACAGGACAGAGCATATACTTCTTGGATACCTTTGTAGTTAACATTGTTATTTAGAGCTTAACAGCTAGGGGGTGGGGAATCTTTAAAAAATTACTTACATCTAGTGGTGTAAATAAAGGATTGTTAAGCGAACCAAAGTTAATATAAGTATTAAATCTGAACACTAAGAAAGTGGCACTATTATTACAATGGCTACTTTTGCTCAAGCTTACCTCCTCAAAATGTGTAGGAGGTAGGAAACAACATTTCCAGGCGAACTTTTTAGCTACTTAATATTTTATGAGAGAAGGCATGTGATAAATAAGGATGAAGTGTGAAGCTGAATGCTACACAACTTTTGAAAAGCCAAGAATGTGGCAATGGTCTCTCTTCACACTGTCAAGAACAGTTTCTAACTCTGACTTTTAAACAATACCTACCTATACAGCAGGGCTTTGCCCTTCTCGTTGCCCAAGGCAAAATATCCACTTCTAGGAGAAAAGTCCATGGTATGAACAAACGAAATATTCTTCTTTCTAACAACTGGAAAGTTGGAAAACACTGTACAAGAAGGAAGGTGAACCTGCCGGAGATAAAAAAGACAAAAACTCCAACAGCATGAACTAGAAATTCATGTTTCTTAAACTTCAGACTTCATTCCACCCTTTTGTTGAATATATTCATTTTGCAAACTGGGTCCACGTTTCTTTCAACTATAGCATATGTAGGAAATGCAATTCTTTAATGTAACACAGTATTCCAAAATTACATTTTGCTTTTCAATGTGCTATTACTTGAAGGAAGTGGAGAAAAGGGATTTTTAAATATGGCTCTAACTGGTGGATGGTAGACTCATGTTTGCTGAATGAAGACACGAACGTAAAAACTCGATGGTGGAACTTACTGATCCAGTAAAAAGATATCTTTTCATAGTGAAAAGATAGGATAAATATGAAGGAGGCCGTTTTATCTGCGCAGTGCAGATTAACCATTCAATTAAGGTGGTTTTCATAGATAACTATTACATAAAACTCTATGTTATAAACACCTATTAAATAAGTTCCAATAAGTCACAAATTAAGGTTTAACTCCCTGATACACGTATCTACTGACTGTTTTGTCAAGAAACTAAAGTTTACAGTCAATCTCCAAGTCATGTTAATTATTCTCAACTCTGCCAGATGGTAGATTCTACTTGTACAGCAAGTGTGTCATCAATGTGAAGGCATTAGTATTAATGCGACGTGGCCTTGACCCATTTAAGCTGGTAGTTCCCTGATTTGATTTTAACGTTTAAAGTTCGTAAACATCACTCTCTACACAGGTTCTTTAAGAAATTACTTTAAATGTTAAAAATTACTTTTTAAAAACCATTTCAAAAACAAAAAAAGCAGATACTGTGTTTTACACAGAGAAGCCAGAATACGGGTACAACAAAATGGATTACACTTAGTTTGAGAATACAATTATATAACTTTTGACAAGTGGTGTGGCTTATTGTGTTTTGTGCAGGTTATTATAAGTTTGCATCTTTACATAAGCATGCACCAACAAGTGGTCCAAAGCATTGCGGCAGCAGAGCACCAGGAGATACCCACTGCTGTGCATCCCAAAACCATGGCTGCCCTGTGCCTTCTGTCACATCTGCCACCTGACACTAAAACGATGCCTCAGATATTTGCTCACAACTTTCCCAGCACAATTTTGAAGTTTGAGGAGCTGCTTTTCTGACTCTTCAGAATCAAAATACACTGGGACCAATCTTTCTACTTCGTTGAGTTCTTAAAGATAATCAATTCAATTAAGCCATCCTTATTTCCAACATATATTAGAAAGCCCAGTTTCATAATTTGAATTCATGTAACGTTATAGTTTTGTCACTTGCTTATTACAAATAGAAAGCTCAGTACAAGGCAAAAACTGAGGAACAAGATACACAGCAAAGTTTTAAAGCCTATTTTTACCAGAAGGAAGCTGTGTATTTACTTCTGTCACTGAATTAGCAGAACCCTAGAAGTACTATGCTAACAAGGTCAGTGATGTAAACTGCACGGTGCTGCCACTGATGTGCTGCCTTCCTTCAACAAATGAGCCATATGATCACACATGGTGGCCACACATCATGCGATGCATGGTGGAAGATAAACATCAGTTTGTCAATAATTTCTTTTTAAATGTCACCCCTTCCACTGGCTTGGATATCTGGTGGGAGCAGGGGGAGTTTTACAATATCCTCCTAACAAAGTTATCTTCTTACAAAGTTCTTCAGTGTAATCAATCTCTCAGGCCAATGATTCCATCAGATAAGCACTTAGATGTGTTCCCATCTCTCTTTATGGTGTGTGTGTGTGTGTGTGTGTGTGTGTGTGTGTATTATTGTTTGATTCCACTTATTTCTTTTTCAATCATTTTATTGGGGACTCATACAGCTCTTATCACAATACATACATGCATCCATTGTATCAAGCACATTTGTACATCTGTTGCCATCATTTTCCAAACATTTTATACTTGAGCCCTTGGTTATCAGCTCATTTTTCCCCTCCCTCCCGAACCCTTGATAATTTATAAATTATTTTTTCATGTCTTACATTGATATGGTTCCTATTTTAAAGTGTTAATTGAACTTTGAAAGAAGTACCAGAAAGAGCCAACTCCTTTATCTCAATTAGTTCCCTTTATCTTTAATAACCATTTCTGTATTTAAGCACCCATATATCAAAATTCAACAAGTAAACAACATACTACTTGATTTAATGGATTAAAAATTCTACAACTTTCCACTACACCCAAGATTGCAAATGCAGTACTCATTTAGCTTCTGGGTCTTCCACCGCCACACGGCACAGATTGATACTGACTGCTCTGCGAGAGGGTAATTAACAGAAGGGTTTGGGTTATTATAAGCGATTGCATGATACTCACTCTGCAGTGAGGCAATCGGAAGCTGCTATGACTGGCTTCTTTCCATTAGATATCATGGTTGACTACTATTTTAAAAATGTGATTTGGCTGCTACTAACGAATTCCCTGTGTGGTTTTGTCAAAATAAAAAAAAACATAAATGCCATCATGATCACTGAAGCAAACTAGGCAGAACCAACTACTATGCGTCTTGCAGAATGTATGTCAAAAGAGACTCTCGCAGCTTTCTAGAACAATTTACAGCCATTACAATGACAGAGGAATGAGGGCTTTAAAAACTGACTTGAATTAGATCCTTCTCATTTTATAAAAGGATTCATTCATTAAGGTAATAAAACTCAACCTGTTTCTCTCAAACACTTTTTCCACCAGAATCCTTTCTACACACACACACACACACACACACACACACACAATTGTGTTCAGACTCCAAACTTTTATCATGGTAACAATGAAGCTTCTCCGTGAGAGCAGGGAGCAGCTTAGTCTCCTCATTGCCCTTTCTGCCAAAAGAGGCTGCTATGCTGCGTGCACAGGGCTCTAAGGAATTCAGTAAGAAAACCCCTAAAGCAGTAGAAAAATATGGAATCTAGAATCACAAGTCTGTCAATTATGAGCTGTTGCCTTTGAATAAGTTAATACTGAGAACTACTAGATGGCTCAAGAATTTTTAATAGAACTTTCCCTAAATCTTTATAACCTGAGCACAGTTATACAAAGCTGTTAAGATATATACTATACCCAAGTCTCTTTGCTAAGTGGGCACAGTCAAAATAACCCAAGTCTTTGGAAAACACTTACAATTTGATGGCACACACAAGGCAACACAGCTATCCAAAGTTCTACACCACTTGGATGAATAGTGGTTCTGCCTAAAGGGGTGAGAAATGTCCAAGAGAGGGGGTGACACGCAAGTAGAGCTTGGGCATGGTACAGAAAGGGGTTAGTATACTAAGCCTAAGACTGCTATCTTTAGAAAAGCCTGCCGACATGGCTGGCCCTTGAATGGTATCCAGGAACTCAGATGGTATAAAATGCTCCCTTAAGGGTACAGGCGCTCACTTTGGCTAAACTGTACAAACGATGTGGTCTTAGGCTTCTGTTGGTATGTCCTAAGCAGAAGGTAGTACTTATGTGACTGGCCCAAAACAAGCATCTTGGGCATGGTGTCTCTCATGAAATATGGTATCGCATGGGATTAAACGTGTCTGTGTGACTTCACAAGAGCCCTGATGGCACTATCAGAACAGCAAGTAGACTGCTGACGTCATGGTTGACTGTTCAAAACAACCAGCCACTCTAAGGAAGAAAGTTGAGGCTATCTGCTCCTGACTGACTTAGTGCCTCAGAAACCCCACAGAGGGTGGCTGAGTCAGAATCGGCCCCAAGGCAATGGCTTTGGTTTTGGTGTGGCTCCACGGGCGGAGGCCCCTTAGAAGCACATCGCAGGACTCTGACTATACACCTATAACTGCTCTGCTGGCTGAAACTGCTGGGAATCCCCCTTTCCCTGTAGTGAGTCAGAGCTGCGAGAGAGTCCTGCGGTTCTCTAGAGTCTGTCAGCCTGGGCAGAGCAGGTGTCTCAGGGACTCTGGACACAGAAGCATCGTTACAAGTGTTAGATAGCTGTTCAAATGGCAGAGTCTATTTTTCTTGAAAGTTCAATTTATTCTAAAAACAGTCTTCAAAACAAAGTAAATGAGCAAGAAAAACAAGAGGACCAAAGCTTTCATCTTAAACATCCACCTCGCTATAGCAGAGCTCATGCTGAAAGAACGAACAAGAGGACGATCAGTCAAGAGATAACTGAGAACGGACAGCACAGCTTTCCCAAACCAACCGACAAACTGAGCAGCCATGTGTGTCATGTCCAACAACCAGACCCCAAAGCTACACTACTAATGACTTTCCTTCACAAGAAGCCCTTCTTTTAAAAATAATACAACACTCTCCCCTCCTTTCCTGTTACCCTTCTACGTTTCAATTTAATTTTTTAAATTACCACTGTTAAAAAAGAAGGAAGAAGTATTACCAGTCTGACTGCTTCTCTCATTTTGTCCGAAGCAACTGCCAAGATTTCTGAAGTAGGGTTGAAGGTCACACAGGAGACACCTGTGACCAAGTTCATTACAGCTTTGATCGGCTTTGGGTTTGTTTCTTGGAGACAAGATTGCTGATTGTATATGTTTACCACTCCACAATTAGAACTGCAAAGAGAAAAGGGGGTGGTGGTGCATTATTAAATACAAAAGATTAAAAATCAGCAAAAGGGTTCTTACCACCTAACGGAACAAAGATGCTAGCCCACAAAAGCTGGTATTTACAGGAATCACGGTGTGTGACAGAGACAGCAACCAGAGAGCTCATCCAAGACAACAAGACAAAAAGCTAGAGGCACTAATTCCACGCCAATCCTTTTGTTACCTTGGGCAGCTGATCAACTGGTCTAGCTAGAAAATCCAAAAAACACATACAATCTCCATTATTTATTCTTTCATTAAGTATTTACTGCACGCCAACTCTATGCCAGCCACTAGTTTTAGTTAGATGCTTGGGATGCAAAGGTAAACAGAGCTGTTCTCCTCTCTTACATTCTACCTTTCCTTCTAATACACAAATAACCCTCCTCCTGATCTTATTTAGACCCCAACCTGTTTCATTAGGTTTGTGAGGACGTTTAAAACAGTGGTGACCAACCACAGTAACTAACAGACATCTTAGTTTCACTTCTCCAGGAATATGGACAGTCAAGGGGTATGGCAGTGACCATGTACTTCAAGTTGACTAAAGCACTGGCCAGCAACAAATCATATCCCACACTCTTAAAAATCTAATCCTAATCACCTGGTTTGTACATTATCAACAGGAGCATTCACACAAAAACTTTATAAATGAAAGATTTTCAACTCAAGGCAAAGTCTACCTTCATTTTATGGGCATTATTTATAAGATACAGCAATTAGGCATGTATTTAATAGAAACTTAATTAGTAATGTATTTAGCATCATTTAGCTCAAAAGTTCTCTTTCAAACTACTAGCACATACACTTTCCCACCAGTTTCCAGTTGCACTCACTGGATGTATGTATTCCATCCTAACCACCCAGGAGAAAGAGTCAACAAAGGGGCTATAGAAAGTTTGTGGGATTGAGGAATTAAATAAGGAATTAAAAGATAATGGAACTTTTCCATCAACCTTTTGAAGCCCTTGGTATCCTTAGTATAAAAATTTCATGTTTTTCTTTATATATTTTTACTTTAACCCAATGTATACATACACTGTAACTTATATTATCCTTTTTCTTGCTAAAAACTAATTTATATCTAAATACACCTTAAAGTGAAAAAATTATAATCAATATGATGCTTTTCTAAATATAAATTATAGTAATTTCTTAGCACCACAAACACAAGCCAAGCCTTAAAGAATGCCAACAAATACACAACAGATCACTGCTTAACTTAGTAGACTCAAGATGGCCTAAATCATGCATTTTTATATATAGAAATTTAGTTTGGTAATGTTCTTTGTGTTAATGGAATAGAATTGATTTTAATATTCTACTAGGAATGGTTAGTAGGTGTTTTGTAAATGCCAGCCATTATGTCTAGCAATAAGCAAAGTATATCAGAAGCATTATATTCCAGGAAAAAATGTACATGTCTGGCATGAAATAATGAGATTACAATGTAGCAGTCAGCTGCATATGTGAGCAACCTCAGAAAAGGAAACAGGAACATCAGTATGAGAGAAGTCACTCTAGGTAACAACACATTGTGGAAGAGGCAGGACTCAAACCAGGGCCTGGGAAGGCAGATGCCAAGTGGGAAAAATAATCAGGCTATCACAGCTAAGAGGAAGAGCAGAACAAGGGGAGAAATAAATATTCTTCCTAATGCTACATTCCCATTACCAGACGAACCACCACAGTATGTCCTGCTATACAAAGCTTTCCCAAAAAGAACCAGTTGCCAGGGAGTCTTTACAACTCCCGGCAATCCTGGAGGGTAGAGGAGACTCCGCTGGGGCTTCAAGACAGTCTGTCCTGAAGCATGCAGCAGACTACCACCCCCTTCTCCAGAGCAGTTGTGCAGTTCACCTTCACTACTGCTTGGTTGAGTACTCAACCCACTGTGCCACCGGGTTCCCTCTTAGAAGTCACGACAGCAAGTAGGCGTGTCTCTTCTGCAGACCGACACTCGGACACATGGGACAAAAGACAGAGAACACACAAGGCCATGGGGAAACTAGAGGTAGAAGAGCATGGTTATCAAGCAGGGGACATTTGGCAATGTCTGAAGACAATAGCAATTAGCCGCCCAGTGCATAACCACTACGCCACCAGTGGAGATAGGACAACCTCAGTTGTCACAACAAGGATGGTGGTGGGGTAGTAGGCAGGAAGGGGATGTGATGGGCATCTGGCAATTTAATGTTCTACCATCCCCAGGCAGCTCCACCACGAAGAATGATCCAGCCCACTGTGTCGCGGTTGAGAAACCTGAAGTAGAGATCAGTGCAGACCAGTGACTGGTTCTCAAGCCTTACAGTGTGTAACAATCACCTAGTCTGTACAGTCAATTCCTGGGTCACCTGTGCCCCATCCCACTCCAGCACTCAGACGCATGCACCTGGGATAAAGGCCAACAGTCTTTGCTCATAATCATAACTACAGGTACACTGATGCTGGAAGGAGGGGGTCCAAGAACCACACTGAAAGAAATACCAAGCATCTGGCAAGCTGCTAATGGACTGTTAAGGGCAGGAAAGCCGAAGTACCATCACAGCACAACGTGCAACAGCTGCCGCAGAGGGACTCAGAAAAGCCCAACCCCTGGGGCTGCCTGAAACCTTCACCGCTTCAGTTCCATTCCTATCTTTGTGGGGTCTTCTGTATATACTCGAGGACATACCGAACCGAGTATCAGCCAAGGCACCTAATTTTACCACAAAAACTGCTTAAAAATGTGCTGGAAAACTTGGCTTATACACAAATATATACAATAGGTTTTTTCTCCTCCTCCATTGGCACTGAAAGTAGTCTATGAGGCAGCCTGAGGCTTCTAAGACACAATAGAAGCCCTACAGATCCTCAGATTAAGCAAAATGAAAACAGAACACAACACCCCACCCTTTCTGAACTCTATAAAGATTCTCCTCTCACCTGCATCACCTTTACAGTCACCTCTTCACTGACTCTTGTCCCCTAAAAGTTCTGCTCCACTCTTCTGGGCACTCAGGCCTGGAACTTCCACACGCGGAAGTTCTGCTTCTCTCCCACCTGCTTTTCTAAGCAGACAGCAAATACACTGGAAACACCGATTGCCCACCTCCCCCACCCCCATGCCCCCTGCCCTACTGACAGCCTATGTATTTACCTGCTGCCTGGATGACGGCAATGACCTCAGGGCTCCGGTCCCTCTGCTTTCTCGTCAACACTGTCATAATTAGTCTCTACTGCAAACGCTAAAATATCAGATTGGATTTAGGATTCTCCTGATTTCAGAAACCTGTGATGTTTCTCTTTCAACTCAGTCTAACATCCAAATTCTGATGAGGCCTACGTAAGACCTCCACATGTCCTACCTGCCCCATTTAGCTCTATAGCCTACCTCAATTAGGCCACAGCCCATCTGTGTTTCATTCATAAGTCTGAAATTCTCCCATTTCCAGCCTTTACTCTTCCGCTCTCTGAATCGTGCATACCCTCAGAATGGCCAGCTCCAGAGCCAGTATGTCTAACAAAACTGTAACAGACGTGTCCCGAAAAGAGTCTCTAGATGACTTGTTAAAAAGTAAAATCCATTTTATATGTTCCATCTAACCAAACTCACTGCCATCGAGTCGATTCCAAAGGATTACTAAATTCCAGCCCTAAAGAATCTCAACCTTTTCTATAGCCCTGGAAGCAGTCAATATCCTTTCAAAATAAACAGAAATGGGAAACAACCTGAGTTTCAGATCCAGTCCTGCCGACACTCAACTTCCTAACAACTAATAAAGAGAACTTAAATTACCTACCTACCCTCTTAAACCTCAGTTTCATTATCAATATAGTAACTGGACTAGCACTATCCCACACAACTTTCCAAAGGGATGGAAATAGTATTGACGCAGTGCTTCTGTGTCTTTCCTATAAGTTTGCTGTGAGTTGGAATCAAATCAAGGCAATTTGTTTGCTCCTTTCCTCCTTTCTTTTCCTTTCCTTCCCACCTGCCTGCCTGCCCAAGGCTCACCTGTTTTGGCGGAATTCCTATTTCCAAACAGCATACAAACAGAACTACGTGCCATCTAGTACAGTTAATTCTTAAGTATCTGCCCACAATCAGAATATGACTAAGGTTGTGTTACACACACACCTCTTTACTTACCCACAAGCCACGTACTGTCCATTCCTCGACGTGGCAATGCTTAATCCATATAAACTGCCTTCATCAGCAAATCTGTTAAGGCACTTCCTAGAGTTCACATCCCAAACGTAAACTTCCCCATCCCCTGCATTAAAGACAAAATCAAAGTCCAGCTAGTTTCATTTTTAAATTGGAGGACAAGAAAATTTGGAAGTGAACAGTACAATAAACTAATAAAAAATGAACACATTCTATTTCTAAAAGCATTTCTCATATACACTCACATACAGAAAACTCTATCCTCCATTAATTCATTCATTAATAAATAGTACCTTTAGGCTTCTAGTGAAATAAACCAAAAAAGCACAAAAACTCATAGTTTAAGTTTTTGGGTAAAGCTAATTATTCCACTCAAATAAAATTCTTAGAACAAGAATTCAAGGGAAAATTTTTTAAACACCTATCAACATAGTTCTGTCACCATCAATCAGACTATCCCAGCTCTGAAGTAAAGTCTGACACCTGGAGAGCCTTGGGGACAGGGCAGCCCTGCCCTGTGGGCTTCCCTGTCAATCGTCATGGAAACAGACTGCCATACTTCTCTGCCTCACAGTGGCTGGTGGGTTCAAACCACTCATCTTGTGGTTAGCAACCAAGTGTATTAGTCACTGACCACACCAGGGCTACTCAACAGGTAGTAGAATACCTAGTACATAAAGCTAGGACACTTAGAAAATCACAATGATAATGACACAAGAAATAATCCAGACAGTAAGGAAGGCAAGAGAATCACCACCATGACATCATCAGCAGTTCTTAGTTTATTATGCCCTCCCTGCTCTTAGGACCTTTCTTATAATGTATTAAGGCCACCACAGCAGTGATCAAATCTGAAAATAATCTATATCTTCATCTACTTCATCTGCTTGCTTTAGTGCTCAATTTCCCCCAGCATTTATATTCATAATATTTTTATATTAGACATAAAATCTCCAAGAAAGTTTTGAAAAATCAATCATCCTAATTTTAAAAGGGATTTGAAACTTTAAGGGATAATGTTCTCAAACGTGAAACTTTCAACAAACCATTCCTTGTCATGCTAAAGTCTACTTATTTCACATTATATTAAATCAAAATTGTTGTACTTGATTTTAAAAAGACTTCAGTATCCTAGCCTCCACCTCCAACTTCACTTCACTTGGCCTGGGATGTTATTCAAATCCCGTGCCTCAGAGATAAATGCTAAGAATTCAAACAATGAGCCATGCAAAGAAAACATGGCGCACAGCAAGCTCAGTATCAGCTGCTAGGATGACTGTGGTTCTTCCCACATCCACACCCTGGCACGGCCACAGTCAGGGATACTGCAAAATGTCAGTGGGCTGGCTGTCTTCTCCCACGACCCAGGGGCCATTTCATCAGGAATGTTACTCTGAGCTAACAGTTACCCCTTACCTCTCATAAATACTAATTCAGGAAACAAGTGTTATTGATCTTATTGTAGTGGGTTTTTTAAGCTGCACGTAAATGACTCAACCTTTCGTGAAAGTCTGCAACTTAAACAAAAACTAATAAAAATTTGTTTTTCAAAAAATTCTTATTAAAAAAAAATTCTTAAGCTCATTTAAAAAACAACTTATATTGTCGTGTCCACACTCCTGATAAGGTAAAATGAAATTAAGTCTAAAGCCCTGCATCGACTGCAGATTCAGCTCAGAGGCAAAATCACTGCAAGGTGCCCATCACCAAAGAGCGTGAGCAGCACTGAGATCAGGTAGCTGTCTCAAGAAATAAGACCCAGACTCTTTGGAACGAAAGATGGGCCTCTCGGAGAGCATCAGAGTGGAAGGCACACAGAGCTTGGGGTAGAGATTTGGGCAACAAGGTTATAACAGAGTGAGAGGATGGCATCGGAATGGTTTACAGCCAATAATGAAAACTCAAAACACTACTCAAGGACAGTACTACAAGTAGAGGAGTAAGAATTCTAAGTAATTTGCAATAAGTCTTAAAAGGAACCGTCTTTTAAAATAATCATCTTCCTTCCAATCCCCCACCCCCTCCATACACACGTTAATGTGTTAACGTGATTAGCCCTCCAATACTCATCTTAGTAAGTAGTCAAATTACAATGAAAAATATATTCTAAAAATAAAACAATTTCTTACAAAAACAAGGAAGATGAAATTTAAATGCAGTTTCCAGTTGACTCTGGACTGTAAGCATGCCCAAAGCGCCTCTTGTGTTTGTTGCCAAGTTCCCTCACCTGAGGAGGCATATATTTTCTTGCTGTCCGAAGCGAATGTGGATGCGGCAACCCTTCCATTAATTTTCATGCTGCCAATCAGTTCTTTAGTCTAAAAGAAAAGTTACGTATTATTTATCTACTGATAGTGTATGGAAGGATCACACGGTGTAGAACAAGAACAATTAGTTCTCTAGCTTCCAGCATCTATTCATTTTCTTTCCCCTGTATGTTCACATCTCCCCAACTTCTCCCACCCACCTACTGGAGACAGACATCCCAAGGACCAGTAACAGCCTACCTTCATTGACAACAAGTGAGTATATCCAGCAACGCCATTTATGAGCAAGAAGGACCCATCTGGGGAGACTTCGAAGCTCCTCACTATCTTCTCTTTCAAACCTAAGGAGATAAATCAATTACAAAGATTAACAAGGTGATCAAAAATGCTTTTACCATCACCTGAAGGGATCATACCTTTAATAATGTCAACATGCCTTAAATTAAAATCTAGGCTGAGGCTTTGAGCAACTCTGACCCTGTGTATGACTGAGCATGACTCAAACAGAAAACTAACAAAGTGCTCAGTAAGCTTCTCTTTTCTAGCTTACACTCACCCTTTCAATTATAAGCCAAGATTCCATCTCTGACAGTAAACATAGCAACTAATTTTCCCAGTGTTAAGTAATGATATCTCTAATTAAAGGGACAAATTATACTTCTATATCACAAAATTCATTATCAGAGAAGAAATATACTGCCAGCCAAAAATAGAACACCAGCAACACAACCTATAGTATTGCACGCTACCTACTAAGCATTCCATGATAAATGGAAGACTGGTTCTTAACTGTGCCTTGAAAGAGTACAAAATACCAATGTGTCAATGTATTCAAAGCTTGAATCACTTCTCAGGATGAGTATTATATAAGTTAAGTAAATAAACCAGACTCAATTACTCACTGAGGGTCATGCCACTTTCTCATGCCTAGAAGATTCACACTCCCTATGCAGCAAATGCCTTCTGGTATCAGAATGCTTAGGATCAAATCACCATTAAAAAGTTGCCTAATGGAAAGGATCCATCAAGAATAGGTATAACTGGCCACCTTCAGGGAGAAGGATGGAGAGAGACTTAGCATACTCTTGGATTTTTGTACCATGTGAATTTATTGCTACTCAAATTTTCTTTTTTTTAATTGTCAGTGAAAAGGGATTTGGAAAAATCTCATGAGTTCAGTACTCCATCACACTTTGTTCCTCCTTGGAAAATGCCATAAGGCGCCACACACATCATCTTGATGCTATTAGCAGTCCTTGTTGAGAGAGTTTACAGTATAAACTGCACGCCACACTCTACGTCTGATGCCAGAGGATCACACCCGAGTTCCTGTGACCAACAAAGACCCCTATCTCTGATCACTGTGATTGCTTCTGTTGATGAACAGCTCCTTCTCTGTATGTCTAACCCTGTGTATTAGCTACATTACATAATTCTAAATAGAAAAAAACCACTACATGACAATTGGGCAAGGAAGGGAGGATAGTTCTAACACAGTGTGAGGCTTAACCTCCAAGTCTTGAGACCTAACCCTGATGGCAATGAGAAAATGAAACTGAGCCAGCCTAGAGCTGCCTCTAGTACAGCCCTAGCAGGAACACAGACGGTACAGGCATCTTCGGAGCAACAGGAAACAAAGTTCCACCCTAGTGTGCAGGACCTGTGTGAACACCAACTCAATGTGACAGCAACAGCAGCAAAGTGCGAGACTCACCCAGCATTCTACTGCTTTCTCTACTCTCTCTCTGGAAGACCTACTCTTCTGGCCTAAATAAATTTATTTCTTTGGACAACTCAGAAGGGGAAGTTGTCTTCAAGAAAGAATACTTGACCTCCAGCAAGTAAGGACAGCAGTTGTTTGTGCAATTAATTATAAAGAGCACTGTACTTTAGCCACACCTCCAGTGCAGAGGTATATAGCATTTTGCTTTTGACCTCACCAAAGATAGCAACACTAATATCAGCATAATTGCATCATTTTAAAAGACAATTCTAAGGAACTCGAGGAAAGTTAACTACTTGGGCATCAAATCAGTTGCTCAGGCTATTTCAGCTGTAGGCATTATGGATAAACTCAGGACCCAAACTCGGTGCCATCAGGTCAATTCCGACTCAAGGTAATGCTTTAGGACAGAGCAGAACTGTCCCCGGGGTTTTCTGACGCTGTAAATCTTTACTGGAACAGAAAGCCTCATCTTTTTCCTACGAAGGGACTGAGGGGTTTGAACTGTCAATCTTGAATAGCTTAGCACATAACCTACTATGCCACCAGAGCTCCACTGTAGAATAGTAATCTCAAAACAGGAGTCATATAAAATGTGTAATATAGCCTGGGAAAGAAGATGTGAATACTTTAAAAATGACAGGCAGATGCATCCAAGTGGGGATGAGATTTTCAAGTTAATAGTTGAGCAATTATAAAAACAGGAACAACCAATTTAATGCCAAGGCAGCCCAATACCACAGGTAGGTGCAGTGGGCTGTGATCACACAGATGATGTGCTGCTCTAACAAGGGTGGCAGACACTATTACCAAGCACTGATCAAGTGGCAGGTACTAGGTGCAGTACTAGTGCATACCTCTCAATGTGTGACCCTCAAGTTTACAGAGTTTAACACAGAAAAACAAGGCTCCAAGATTCACACATCCAAATACTTACATTCAAAATGGCCAGGTGACCAAATAACTTGATTTCTAAATGCTCAAATTCCTTTTGTTAAATGTTTATTCAAGACTAAACACAGCACTTAACAGTCGCCTTTTAAAATGATGCCAACAGAAACTGGCTCTGGAGTTTGAACTAGTCATCTGGGTTCGTAGTCTGATTTTGTGCTGTGAATATATTGGCAGTCTGGTGAGTCAGAGTAATGGTTAAATACATTTCTAGTTTGGGGAAATGTTCAACTTCAGTTGGAGGTTTATATAAATAAAAATATAATGCTTTTCACATGCAACTTCACAAACCCCAGACACATAATCAAGAAACTGCATGTTTTTGTGGGTCCCAGATTAATGAACCCTTTAATAACTAGTGGAATGTACCATTTGTATCAACTTTGTATTCTTCACTTCAAATTATTATTTATGGTAAGAAGAGTTTACATGTTTAAGTCCTTAGATCACCACTAGTTGACAAAGTTTTCCTTCTTGTGTTAGGGGAGACTGAAAAATAACATATCCCCTCCAATAAAATTCACCTATCATTCCTATTATTTCATCATTCCCACTATGAATAATGGGGAGAATGGGATGCATTAGGCAGGACAGATGAATACAAGTCTCAAAAGAGGCTGGCACCTACTACACAGTATGCACCTAGCAGGTTGGGCCCCGAGCACACACCGATTACATATATCTTGGCTTGTCTTTCCCAACAGTGGGAGCGGCAAGGAAGAACCTGGCCCAAACCAACCAACCTATTATATATTATTTTATTTCAATATTGGGAGATTATTGTAACTAAAACTGAGATCCACAAAGAAGCAACAACATTGTCATCAATCAGGAGTCTGTGAGAAATGTAGGCTCTCAGGCCCCCCACCCTAGACCCACTGAGTCAGAATCTGCATTGAAAGTTGAGACAGCCTGGTTTGAAGTGCGATCAAAGGTGTTAGAACCATCTCAATTGTTTCTAGCACCTCATTGCTTCTCACTGTCACTGATAGGAAAGTGGCTGTCCAGAGCAACCCTTCTTTACAATCCCACACATAGTTTTTAATAAGGAGGCTAGGCTACCAGTGAGCTATAGCGCCTATCAGCACTCCCTCCCAAGATTTATGACATTAACCCAGCCAACCTCATTACAAGGACTTTGGTTCACAGAGGATTCGTGACGTTGTCCCAGGGGAAGAATGGCGAAAGGCAAAAGATACATTTCCACCTATTCTATGTACAGTTGGCCCTTGCACAATAGCAGCTTTGAACTGCCCAAGTCCACTTCACAAAAGGATTGTGACACTGCTAATCATCTCTAAGAGAGCAAGTGATTGCTCCAGCAAAGGGACGACTCAGTAAAAGGTCGTCTCTCACAGCAGTGTATTCTTCAGTGCAATGCCACAACCCCTGAGGAACAATATGAGGCCTACACCAAGTGCCACCGGCCATGCTGGAAGTGCTCCCAAACAACAAAGTTCTGGCATTACATGAAAAAGTGTAGTTGCCTGATAGGCAACTGCAGATTGAGGTCTGCAGCCACTCGCTGAAATCCATTGGACCATTGCCAAAAAAAGAAAAGGACATTTGTAAACTAGCAGGCATTAAAGCCTTGCTCTTTTTGTGAAGGGCTTTATCATTAATTGGAAGTACAGCCTTTATGTGGTACTTAACACACATTACAATACATATTACACATAACATACAAAACATATGTAAACTGACTCCTTGTTATCTGTAAAGCTTCCAGTCAATAAACTCAAAAGAAACTACTGTGGCTGAGCTGATGCCAACTCACAGCGATCCTATAGGACAGGAAAGAACGGGCCCTGTGAGTTTCCAAAACAACAGCAGGCTATTCAGTTAAGTTTTGGAAATTCAAGTTATACATAGTTTAGCGTCCATAACCTCTGGGTTGTTCAAGTGTCAACTGTGGCCAATTCTTCAAAGTATGTCATGTAACACCAAAAGCAGTGTTTCATTTCCTTTCATTATAAACTGAAGTTCTACTATAATAAACACTAACGAACAGTACATGTAAATTTCCTAAAGATCAGAGAAGTCAAACTTGTTCAGAAAATGTGAAACCTGGGACTTGTAACTCCCAAGTTCAAGCTATTCCTGCTTTATTATTAGCTGCTTTGACAGTCAAGGTTTTCCAACTGCTTTTCTGGTCTAGGGAGACAGTTCCGCTTTAGAGTAAATGGTCAGTCAGTAAGTAAATCAGTTTACAGTTTCATTCAAGCATATAATCTCAAAAACACAATGACAAAAAAGTGATTGTAAATATGTCAACTCAACTCATATTGGGTTGGCAGGATGAACGGCGTGTATTCAACAGAAACCTTACCTCTCACTTGATGCACAGGAATTAACTTTCCAGCCAGCATATCATAGACATAAAGGACTTTGCTGTGGGTACTCGTGGCTAGAACCTCTTCTCCATTAGCACTAAAACAAGCCTTAAAGATTGGAAACTTTTCCAAATAGATGCTCTGGATTTTAGGATTCGTTTTTCCATCAACCTGTTAAGTGAAAAATGTTTCTCTTGGTTATCTCCATGGATGTATTCTATCCCCGAAACAATCACTTTCACAACTACAAATCCTCATTACAGGTGCATACCTGGAACAACGACACAGCATTGTCTAACCCAGCAACCATCACCACTTGAGCACCAGGATGAAATTGCACGGATGAGATCCGAGCAGTTGTGGGACGTTCAGCATTAGCATTTTGGCAGTTCTTCATCTATGAAAAAACAAAACTGGAACTGTAATTTAAATGGGTTCCCTTGCTTTAGACCCTGAAGAGATATTATTAAACTGCTCACAGTGCAGTGTGCATGGGAATGCTCTGGAACTGACCAGAAAATTGTTTTATTTTGTTCCATCTTTATCAACTGTCAAATGAAAGGAGCAAATCATTCGGTTGGTAAGGTCCTCTCACACATCTGGAAACCTGCATCTGGTAAGCATTCTTAAAGAAACTACTGTAATCGATAATCTATGCCAATAAATTATACATGTAGAAACTGTTGCACTAGTGGTGGGTTTTGATGCGTAAATTCTCAACACAATAAATCAAATTTAGGAGTACAGAGCAGTGAATTATTTAATGTGGCTCTTCTAACTATAGTCTCTTTTAATTCCCACCAAAGGACTTTTCCCTGATGGGTCTGGGTAAGGTGGGGGAAGATACTGATTATATTATACATTCAACTGTGAGTATAAAGTAAATCATTTGAGAGCAAGAAGGGGGAAATCTCACTACCAGCAAGAGCCAGGAATGGAGCATGGCAGTTAGATTTTATGTTAACTTGACCCTGTGTAAATGTGTAGGGAAGGAATCCAACCTATTGATCAGGTCACAGCCTGATGATGCCTCTTTGGGGTGTGACCTTATCTGTAAGAAAGACAAGTGAGGAATTTCAACTTCCTCTCTAGTCCTTTGCCTTCATCCTGCTGGGACTGTCTGCCTCCAGGTGATGGCCCCATGTGGACTGGTGACCATGGAAGCTAACTTCCAAGCTGTTGGCACCCTGCCATGTGGCCACCAACCTTGGATGCACGCAACTCTGCACCCACTGACTTGTGATCGCCCTGTATATTGCTTCACCTTTCTGTGTCATCAGTCTTCAGCTACGTGAGTCAGAAGATCCAGCTAGCATCAGACCTATAGATTTCAGTTTGGCTTAGCTGGGATTCTTTTTCAATATAAAATTACCTCTTGGTAGAAAGTTCTTTCTCACACATACGAGTGTGTCACTGGTTCCGTTTCTCTAGACAATCCTGCCTAACACATGAAGTGCATCCTCCACACTTCCAAGGTCCCTGTGCAGTGAATCTCCTTGATCCAGGAGACAGCTCTGATACCACAGGAGCGAGGGAGGAGCAACAGCAGCAAAACCGATAGGCAGAGCATGGGACAGAGTGGGGGACTTCCCTCCCAGGCCACACAGCGGCTAAAGCTGAGTACTTGGGGACAGGAGGCTTACTGGAGTGGGGTCCCTCTGAGCACTTAATTCAGGGAGCCAAGTTTGCCGATCCACAGAGTTGAAGCCAAGTGCCTTAGGTTGAGGCCTATAGAGGAGGGGCAGGCCCTTTAGAAATGTATTAGCAGGCTAACATGTCCAGCCAGCTTAAACAGCTATATCCTAAGCATTTCTTACCTGAATTGTATCCTATTAACTTCCCTTAATAAACCCCATAATTGTGAGCCTCATCTGTTGAGTTCCAAGTTGCCACTACAAATGAATTATAGAACCAAATTGAAAATGTGGGAGAACAAAGGGGGAACACTACCTCATCAGTTCCCTGGACACATTCACTTAAAAGACTTCCATGGAAATTTCACTAAAAATTCCTTGACATCCCAATGGAAATTTAAAACTCTTATCTGGCCTCCTGGAACTTATGTCACAGTAAAAGGGGCCATGGTATGGTCATGGCTCTGTTTATGACTGGCTAGAATTGCTTACATTCTCCTCTCAGGGTACATGATTGCTAGTTGGACTGTTTTTTCAAGTTATTTCACTTGGTTTTATGAGGTACTCTCCTGCATTAAAATGTCAATTATGTATGAAAATTCAGTTATGCATAAAAACTCAATTACGTATAAAAAAAGGTTTATTTATATACACGAGATTTTAAAATATTTGTGGAAAAATATAGAAAAATATCTGTGAAAAAAAGATAATTACATCGGACAGTGTAAGATATGACAAAATAATAATTTAGAAATAATCAAGGGTTCATGAGGGAGGGGGGAGTGGGGAGAGAGGGGGGGAAATGAGGAGCTGATGCCAGGGACTTACGTGGAGGACAAACGTTTTGAGAATGCTGAGGGTAATGAATGTACAAATGTGCTTTGCACAATTGATGTATGTATGGATTGTGATAAGAGTAGTATGAGCCCCTAATAAAACGATTTAAAAAAAGAAATTATTA